ATATATAAATGTGTGTGTGTGTGTATGTGCATACATACACATACACACACACACACACACACACACACTAGTGGCCCGGTGCACGAATTCATGCACGTGGAAAGGAAATTAATTAGAAGAAATATTTTAATATTGCTATTCGCCCTTTCTCCGTAATAGAATTGTCAACCAAATTCACAACCAACAATGACAGATCAAAACACACACTTGCAACTGGCACCAGCGAGAGCTTTATATATGTAGATAAACTTGCTTAATTAGACCTGCTTCCTGATTTAGCTAAATTTTTTCCAGCCCAGTGAAGCACCCCAAGTCTTCTCACAGGTAATTGTCAGCAACACAGCAGTAAATATCAATATGAAGCAGTTTATTATTATAGATCATGCAGGGAGAATAAAGGATAAAATATTTAACTGCAGCAGTTTTTGACTATATTCTGCGCAGTGAGAAAAACCTGAAGTCATTTTCAAGGTCCACCATTTCTTCTTTTCAGTTGGGTCAAGTTTCTAAGCTTTCTAAATCTCCATTTTCCAGCTAATAATATAAAAAAAGGATTCCAATGAGTCTCCTTTCTACCTACTCTAGGAGTTCTGTGAGGATCAAATGAGATGAGGCACAGGAAAATGCTTCACAGACATTTGGTTAATGTGTAATTGTTTCCACCTGGCTATAAAGCAAGTCGGGTTCCTGGGCTGGAGAACCTGCAAGGAGGCTAGTTGGTAGGGAGAGGAAGCCGGGCGTTGCTATGTGATGTCATTATCCAGCACCCACAGCGACCGTTTCTGGGCTGTGGGCTGCATTTTGCAACATGGGGTCTCGGCAGTTTTGGCTGCGATTTGGTGGGCTGTTGCTCCAGGGTGGTGGCAGGGCCTGTGTCCCACTTGGGGCAAGCCAAGTGTTGTTTTGTGGGTGCCAGCTCCGTGGTGCCATTTCTCTGTGTGCATCTTGGCAGCTCTTGCATTGAGCGTCTGCCCCCTGGTGGTCATTGTGTGTCATAGTGACTGGTCGGAAGGTGGGACGGACACTTAGCATATTAGCCTTTTATATAGCTAGACTGGAGGCCCAATGCATGAATTTGTGCAACAGTGGGGTCCCTCGGCCTTGCCTGCGGGATCGGACTGAAACCGGCTCTCTGACATCCCCTGAGGGGTCCCAGATTCCGAGAGGGTGCAGGCTAGGCTGAGGGACCCCACTGGTGCATGATTGGGGCCTGGGAGGGACACAGGAGGTTGGCCAGCCGGGGAGAGACCGTGGGAGGGCTCCAGGGTGTGTCCGGCTGGTCTCTCTCAGTCCTGATCGGCCAGACCCCAGCAGCAAGCTAACCTACCAGTTGGAGTGTCAGCCCCCTGGTGGTTAGTGCACATCATAGCGACTGGTCGACTGTTTGCCCACTAGTGGTCAGTGCACATCATAGCGAGCAGTTGAGCGGCCTTAGCATATCATTAGCATGTTATGATTTGATTGGTTGAATGGCTGACCAGATACTTAGCATATTAGACGTTTATTATATAGGATAGATCACAGCAAACGGTAATAAAAATAAGCAAACAAACAAGCACCAGAAACTTTATGCCCAGTCAGCCTTTGTTGGATTTTTAAAAAATACCCAGAAAATAATTTAAGCAAGCTATTTATCAAGCAGACTGTGCCTTTTTACAGAGTCATTTGTTGCTTTTAATACAGAATATAGAGTTTGCTTATCACACAGGAGAGTCAAGCCCAGTCGCTGCTTTCCTGTGGAGAGCCATTTGATCATGGAATAAAGTTGGCTTAGCCTAGCATTATCTTTCGGCATAGAAATATGAGCCGGAGATTTTTATGAATCAGTTAGTGCTTTCCTAAGTATGTTCTCTGTAAAGCATTTGCTCTTTACCCTTAACATCTATTCCTTGAGGATGTGAAATCTGTTTTAGATTTTAAGGTCTATTTACTTGCCCTAAGCACTGAACAGATGAACCATAAATTTGATATGTGTTAACTTTTGTGGATTTATTTTTTAAGACCATTTTTGTCTTTTTTACTTTAATTTGTGTCTCCTCCTACTTCATGAAACTAAAGAAAATTTTTTTTATGTTGCTAGTTCCTTTTGTTTTTAGTGTGTGTGTGTGTGTGTGTGTGTGTGTGTGTGTGTGAAGTGATGACGAGATGTTGATGGTAGTTGACATCTGATAGGAAGTGGAGAATTGCTGAAATATATTTTGTGATTTGTGAAATGAACCTTGTTACTCTCCTTGCCTGTAAAGTGAAACTTCATGTACAGAACCTGGTCTTAAATGCTCCTGTATATTTGTGGATATTATCATTATGAACATCATGGTATATGAATATGGCAGTGCCACCAGAGTCCCTGGAGATGTACGAGGCCATGTGCCTCATTCACAGAGGAGAGAGCGCCAACTTTGGAGTTTCTGAGATGGGCTTTATTGGACCTATGGAAATTAGACCATTTTAGATAGCTGTGTGGTGTGGAAAATGGTATAAACAAATATAGTGGTAATTGATATCTTTTGTTGAGCACTTAGTATGGTCCAGGCATTGTAATGAATGTCTGTCACACCTAAGCTTTATAACCTCATTTTACAGACGAGGACATCAAAATTTAGGTTAAATAAGTGGTAGACCTAAGATTCAAATGAGTTGTCAGAGTCCAGGGAGAGGTACTAAAGCACAGTAGTATTTGAGTAGGAACTCTGTGTGTGTGTGTGTGTGTTTACATGTATGTGTGTGTATGTGTAGAAGGATTTAGCGATTTTGTTTAGATTCTCTTATGTGAATTTTGACAGTTGAGTTAACATCAGTGGTGAAAAAAATCATAGCATGGAGTGGGGCAGGGCCTGGAAGCCACATTGCTCTATGATCTTTGGCAAGCCCCTTTCTCTTCCCTCCTGTGAGGCCTCAGTTAAAAAAAAGAATTCAGATCCTTGAGTTTTCTGTTTTTGTTTTTGTTCTTTTTTTGGGGGGTGGGGGGGGGGCAAGAATTTAACTCAGGATTTAAGTTCAAGATGATAATAGAATGTATCATTTGTCTTCCTGTTTTTAAATTGGGAGTACAAAAACAGGAGTTTGGCTCAGTAGTAGATGCAGGGGGAGGAGTTGGTATATGGTTAAGCTCCCATTGCCTCTTGCAGGCCAGGAGAGAGATGTTGCTTCTAGCTTTAGAGATCTCTATCCATACTTATTAAATATAAACATAAGTAAGTGAATACCCACATGTACATATACATACACCCACACACCCCTAATACTTTAAAACTTCTCTGTGCAATGCACTAATTAAGATGGAGAAGGTTCTGTGCCACATTATGTCACCATTTACTTTAAATATGGCAAAGCTATTTAGATGCCAAACAATTAACACTTGTCTATATTGAGACCCATTTAGAGCCTGGGGCCATACTCTGCTTGTCTCTCAGCCAAAGACACTCATGGAGCATTCTCATTGGCTGTAACTGTGCTGTTAGGTGTTTGACTGTGGCCAGGTGGGCCGGAGCAGTACATGTGTAGCATCCATCTGTGGCCGGCTGCTCCTGACAATGGAGTGTGAATGTCAGGGCTCTGCTGCCTGCTGGCCCCTCTGCCCTGTTAGGCCAGCCAAGACCTGGATTCCTGCCATGATTTAGAAAAGAAAGTAAAGCTTTCTAAATACTGGCAGGAAAATCAGCTTGCTTTCCAGATTCAAAGCAGCTGCCCAGCGTCCAGTCCCCCTGCACAGACAACTTGTATTGTAGTCTTCTCTTGGGTTTGTTCTTGGCATCTGATACATGTCCCAAGTAAAATGTGGTTGATAAAAAATTTAGGTTACAAATATTAAGGGTGATTTTTTTTCTTTTTTATCAGAATGGCATAATTTGGAGAGTTGCAGTATTTTTTCCAGGTTGCTTTCAAGACTAACATTTATGATAGTAAAGACAAGCAACTAATGTAAATCTTGATTTTTTTGTGAAAATACATCTGTTGATCTTATGAAATTATTTATAGACTTCTAACTCACTTTTACATAGCCTAATATGTATGCAAGCATAATTTATAAAAGTCATTTGACGGTAGAAATTCAAAAGCCTAACGGTTTAACTGAAAGTTTTATATTGTACAGGATTCTAAGATGGAGCAACTTAATTCTTCTCATATGTTTGACTTAGAGTGTAATTTTGCAACTGTAGGAGATGATTCAATAGCTGATGCATTCTTTGCTTTGGCTATGTTTCTCTGAGTGTGATTTCTGCTTCTGTGTTTCGGTGGCACATTGAATATTGTGGTACAAGTAAGCATAGATTCCATCACAGGGCTCAGCCTACCAGACTCAGAGTTTGCAGGATAATTCTTTGGTTTGTCTGTGTTTCACTAATAGGAGGGGGAGGGGCTTAGATTCCTTTTTTGCTTTCTCTGTTGTATTAGATCCAAAAAAATAAATATATTGTAAGAACTCTTGAACAATAGTTGAGATGCTTTTCTATTATTTTCTTGTTGGGAGCTTGATGTTTTGCTAGTAACTCTGGGAAGAGAAAAGGAGAGAGAAAGCCGACACGTTTCATTTGAGATCTGTCTTCTATTTCTATAACTTGTTTAATATGCTAACATTGTTGATATTTTTCTATTAAGTTTAGGTTCATTGCTGGTAGGATTTTATCACTATTGAAGTCTTTTGTTTTACCTTACAATTCACATGAAAATTTCATGAACATTTGGTTGGGAACTTAACTTTATTGTCAGACTATTTCTAGGAGATAGGTCAGTAGTTGCATGTTGTATTTTACTTAATAAGTATCAAGTTAATGGAGATTCAGTTGTATCAAAACATTTATCATTACATCTGAGCTTTCTTCTTTTTATAGTCTTTGCAGTTTGGGAAATAAATGACACTGAATTTTCCTCTTTTTCTTTTTTAAAGACTTTCAGCTGAATTCTCATCTCTCAACACTGGCAAATATTCATAAGATCTACCACACCCTTAATAAGCTAGTAAGTCAATCTTTCAATGACAAAACTACCAGCTGTTTAAATAGTTGTTTTAAATGTAGTTGATAAGAAAAAATTAGGTTACGGATATTAAGATATCAGCTATTTATGAAAATATTGAATTTTAAAACTTGTTGTGATGGTGTGATTTCTTGGTAATAGTGAACATATTTCTTGCAGAATCTAACCGAAGACGTTGGTCAAGACGATCACCAAACAGGTATCTGTAAATGCTAATACTACTTAATTTTAAATAACCTTCCTAATTTAAAGTTACAAAGGAGAAATACTAGCTGGGAATGCTCAACATGGTAATACATTCCATTAACAAGTTGCTACTTGGTTGAGGATTTTTCCAGTGTGTGAGGCAGCCATTTACGGTTCCTTCTCAGTGGGAAATCTGTTCTAGGGCTTGGCTATGACAGACTACTTCCGGCCCTTTAAAGGGGATGAGGATTCTCCCTAGTGGTTTCAAGTTGTCATTTCTCTGCTGAAGTATTTTAGTTCATACTAACAAGTCACTACAGTAATACAGTTTGAAAGGTATTCCATAAATGTTTGTTGAATTGAGATAAAATGATTTGATAGCTAGGTAGGGAGTATGTGTGTGTTGTCTAGGTCCTGAGGATTTACGAATGGGAAAATTGAAACTTGACTATTATAAATGATTCTCTAGCCCTGTTAGTATTCTAATCACTCGGGTGGGCTTGTTAAAACAGATTGCTGGGTTCCACCCCTAGTGTTTCTAGTCCTGTAGATTGGGGTGGGGCCTCAGTTTGCATATCCGACAGGCTCCCAGAGATGCTGATGCAGGCGATCACACTTTGAAAACCACTTCTCTAAACTGTTGATAATCATAAAGTTTAGAACTTGCACTTGATCTGTAGTTTCTAAAACTTCCAGCACAAATGTAAGTATATTTAAATTTTTTGAGAATTACCACAATAATATATGACTATATGCTTGTTGGTGAATTTTGAGTAGCCTAAAAGTAAATTTAGAAGTAAAAAGCGACAGCCCTCTCATATCTCCCAATCCAACCTTCCCCCAGTTTAATGTTTATTCTTTCAGACATTTTTATACATGCATATATTTTTATAGTAGTGGTTTTTTTTTATTTGGCATCAATGAGATCATACTGTATATACTATACAGTACAGTATCATTCTTTTTTCATTTAACAGTGTATCTTGGATTTTGTTGGGATTTAAAACTCTCCCCATCCTCCCCTCCAAATTGGTTCAGAATTAATTGAAAATTAGGTGGAAGATGGAGATTGAAGTAACAGGTTTGTTGGAAAACACAGCTTAGTTGTGCAGCAAAAATGCAGAGGCTTTTCAGTATTTATATACCTGACTTACTAGTATATGCTAGTCTTACATCAATCACCGCCATAACGAGATAAGCACAGGCCAGCATTCCCTCTGTTTCCTCTCTAAACCCCACTGTGACAGTGGAAGGAAGGGGCTGGACTTCTGTTGAGAGGTCCATCTGAAAGGGGCTCAGAAGGGCTGGGCCCCTCTGGTCAGTTCCTCATCCCTGGATCACCAGTGAGATCACAAACTCCTCTTTCCCGGGAAGGAGTGAGACAAGGGGCAGAGACTGCCAGGAGTGTTCTAGAAGGCAGGCCAGAGTGTCCCTTTATTTCAATAAATACAAGTTAATTCAAAGACAGTCAAGAGCAGTTTTCTTAATAATTGAAAAGCAATGTATGCACATGGTTTAAAAAAAATGTCGAAAAGGTATAAAACAAAAAAATGAAGGTTTCTGTCCCATTTCATTACCCCATTCCCCATCCCCACTACTACTACACACTTGACTCTCTAGAGGTAACTTTTACATTCTTATATTTGTTTCCCAGATGGTGATGATGATGATGATATTGGTATTTTTTTACCCCAAATAACAAGTGTATATCTGCATGTGCCTCTTGTTTTTTGTCACTCAGTATATCTTGAAGATATACTGTAGCTCATTTATAAAGTTTTTGCTTTATTTTTTAATAAATGCATAGTTTTCTAATTCATGGATATATCATGATATGTTTCTATTGATACACATTTAAGTGTGTTCAACTTTTAGCTATGACCAGTAATGCTGAAATAAAATTTTCAGGGCCAGTTTTAATAGTTAAGAGAAAAAGCACACTTCTCTCCTATTTTGGGACAGTAGGTTGGTAGGCTTTGGGGATATTGTTAAACTTAAGAGTTAGTGTAGTTTTGATTTTTAAAACTGAATTTTGTCTTTGTAAAGCCTTTAGGTTGTTCCCCCCTTTGCTAAGGTAATGAAACCTCTAAATTCTGAATCTTGTACATTATATAGTTAATTTTGAACTTTGGATTAAAGTGAGTGAGGTTACTGTAGTAATTTCACATTTACATATTTAATTTGAATATGACAATTTAATAACAGTAAGTTAAAATTAAGGAAAATGAAAGTGGACAATGTATTTAACCGCATGCCTCCTCTCTCGCCCAGTGGGCATAGTGGATATGTCTGATGTTAGATGTATGACATGTTGGTGCAGTGCCTGGTACCTCGTAAGTGCCTGTCAATGTCAGTTAGTGTTAGTAATTTCTTAGAGTTGCCAATTTCATTAACATTTCTCCATCTGGTTATAGCATCACTTGTGATTACCATACCTATAATGACTGTACTTTAAAAATGAAACAACATAAAATCTATACTGTTTGGAAATCTGAGAAAGTTAATTACTGTAATGTCTGTTTGAATCTCTTGGCTCAGCAGTAGTCTGAGCAGTAGCTATAACAACTGTACGTGGAAGAGCCAAACTCTAAGTGCAAAGGAGGCTACCATCTTCCTGCTCTGTCTCCTCTACCACTGTTCCTTGGTGCTGTCAATCTTCCTCCCATCAAAAACATAAAAGTCAGACAGACAGACAGACAGAGTTAATGTTAGAGAAGTAGCCCAAAATACTGGGAATGAGGAAAAAAAACAGAGAGGACAAAAAATGATGAAGGAAGAGACTACCTGTCAGAATCAATATTATTTAGAGAGAAAGGGTTTTTTTTTTGCCTTAAATAGTGGGATAAAAATTGCTCATATAGACACTAATAGTTTTAAACAAGCAAGTAGTTTAACGATCTGTTCAAGAAAATGAAATAAAATATTAGGTACATTTTAGGTCTAAAAATGCAATCTGTTTATCAACTCAAATTACTATATCTGTGACATTGTTAAGTCAAAAGTGAGGTTGAAATGGCTATCTAAAAAGTATTGAAGTGGCACAATGAACCATGTAAAATGTTATGTGAAAAAGGCTGTATGATACAACAAAGTCACTAAAATGAAAAATTAAACAGTAAGATTTTTATATTGAAACATGAATTTGCACTGTTTTGGAAATTCAGAAAAATTCTCTAATTTTATAGACTTTTTATTTGGAGATGACTAGAAATTGGGCACATAATTTTATGTGTTTTACAGGAAATGAATTCTAAACAGGACTTTTTTTTATTTGAGGCTCACAAGTGAAAAGATTTTTTAAAAAAGAGAGACAGTGGAGTAACTACTTAGCATTTATTGAGAATAGCATGCTTAATTAAACCATTATCATAACAACAAGCTGGGTAGTAGACACTAAAGGGCCTTAGGTTGAGGCAGGTAAACTCAAGTTGCTCTTTAAAATTATTTTCTGGGACCAAATATTAGGATAGATCTGTTGGAAAAGGTTGGCAGTATTTCTAATTGTTTAATGTGGGAAGAATGGCTATATTCATTCAGTTCCTGATTTATTTGAAATAAAGTTGGTTAATAGAAGGACTTATTTGTTTTCTTTGAACACTGAACCAAAAGGAATTAAACTTGAACTCAAATTATAACCCTTGGGTGAAAAATATAAACAGTTTATATAGCCTTTCTAAGGATCATATAAATAGGAAAGCATGAAGAAAGAGCTTCTAATGCTGGGAGAGTTGGGAGGGTTTTCACTCACTCTTCATCTAATATAGAAATAGTTAGACTGAGCACCAGAATATCAATCAAGATAGTAATATTAAGGGGCCTGAATCATAGTTTGGGATTAGTAGTTGGGATTATTCTTCTCATCTTCCTCGTTTTTTTATTATTACAAAGAGGCTTTCTTCTTTCATATGTTTCTGCCAAACATTTCTTACCAGCTTTAAGGTAGCTCCCTAAAATCTTTTTATGCATTTCCTTGGTGATTGTCAGAGAATGAAAATTTGTAGCTCTGATAATTTCAAATGAATTTCTGGGTTTCTTAAAGTTTGTTAGTAACTTGCTTTTATTTGAAATGTCAGCCTTAATATTTTGCCTCTGCCTGTAATGTCAGATTGTTTGTACTCAAGTAGATACTTTAAAGGGTTAAAATAGCTAATTCTTTAAAGAAGATAAACATTCCATAGCATTCTTTATTTGTTTACTAAACTTTTTAAAGTTTAAAGACAGTTTAATTGAAGTAGATTGTGATGCAAGTTCTGATACAATAAAGTCTAAATTTAACTATACAAATAAATATAAATTTGTAAAACATTCACTTAGATTTAAGTATTTTTATTATAAAAAGACATCACAGAGTTATTTTTAGATGCAAACATTCTAAAATATATGTTTTAAAACATCCTACCTGCCAAGAAACTTAAAGTCAAGTGCTTGTTTTAATGAGAAATGGAAAAAAGTCTGAAATTATGGTGTATAATCTATTTATAAGTGTTTTATTTCTCTGAAATTGTACTGTGTTTTTTGATTGTTTTTAGCAGAATTTGATTTACGCATGTTTTAGGAATATTCAACAAACATTGAGAGTTTGCTGTAGGACTCTCAGTACATGTATCTCATTATTACTACAGTAAGATACTTTATCAGCTGCTGTGTGTACACTGGTGACCCAAACTGGGACCCTGCAAACCAAGGTGTACCTTTGTACATGCAAGCAAGATCCTTGAACATATGTGTTGCCCGGTACCTAGCACTGGGCAGGCACCCCATTCAGGCTGGAGTCTTGTTTTATAACAGAGTAGTGCTTTTGGCTGGTATTTTCTTGAAGCATATTATCCGGGTAACTTAGCACAATTGTGGAAGCCCAAGTATAAACTGGGATTTAGCTTCTAGTCCTGACCACAGGGTTGTGACTGTTAGTTACTGACATGCTCTCCCTGCCTTTCGAGTAGCTTTCTAGAAAGAGTTGTCCACATTCAGTAAGTTTACTCCCTCACCTCACATCCTTCCCCAGCCCACTGCAATTTAGCCTCCACCATCACCAACCCATTACTGCTGGACTTCATTGCTGAGTGCAGTGGGCGCCTTCACTGCTTCCTGAGCTGACTTCGGTGTGCAGTTGACCACTCTCTTTTCCTATGGTTTCTAGACATTATCCTCTCCTAGGTTTTTCCCTGCCCGGGTTTTCACCTTCTTTCCCACCCCTTGGCTTTCCACACTCCCCAGGGCTCTGTCCTTGGTTCTCTCTGCCTCTCAGCCTCTGCTCTTCAGGTTAGTGGAGGTGGTCGCAAGTGGCGGCGGAGACCTTGGGCTTCGCTGCTGAGAGCTGGGGTTTGACCTCTGACTTCACCTGCTGCTTTCCGTCTGTCATCTGATCTCTGTGGTTCGGGTTCTTCGCTGTAAAAAACGGGCATGCTAACAAATTCCTACATTGTAGGGTTATGAGGATCCACTGAGCATTGAGGTCCAGCCTGAGGCCACGGTTATACCTCCATTATGTCACTTGGAACATATTTCTTTATATCCCCACCATCTGTCTACACACAATGTTTGGAACCTATTGAATGGATGTATACCACAGTTCTCATTCATATATATATATATATATTTCAGAGAGAAAGGGAGAGGGAGAGAGAGAGATAGAAACATCCACAGTGAGAGAGAATCATGAATCGGCTGCCTCCTACACGTCCCATACTGAGGATTGAGCCTGCAACTCGGGCATGTGCCCTTGACCAGCATTGAAACCGGAACCCTTCAGTCTGCAGGCTGACGCTCTATCCACTGAGCCAAACCAACTAGGGCCACAGTTCTCATTCTTCAAATGACACACCAGAGACCCAGACTAGGTTAATGACTGACCGAGCTACATAGGTAGGTGAAGAGTGGGAGCTCATTCATTAACTCCAGATCATTCAAACCAGCACCTTTTGGCTCTTGTCCTCTTGGGTCACTGAGAGCCCAGGGTCTCTACCAGTGGGCCAGTGGAATAAGTAAGATTTGTGGTCCAGAATTGACATGTAGCACTTCTGAGACTGTGACAAGTATTTGGATGCCTGAGTCTTCGTTTTTCCATCTGTCAGGTAGAGATAATTACCTCTGCCCTGCTGTCATTCAGCATTATTGACATAGTATATCTGCTAGCACTTGTGCCAAGGTGGAGTATTTTAATTTACATATATAAAAGCCTAAGCGAGCAAACAATGAAATGACTTGTCGACCAGTCACTTTGATGCGCACTGACCACCAGGGGGCAGACGCTCAACTCAGGAGCTGCTCCCTGGTGGTTAGTGCCCTCCCACAGCAAACCTCCCGGGGCTGGCCAACCTCCTGCGGTCCCTCCCCCTGGGCCAGCTAAACCTCCCGAAGCCCCTACTCCCTGCTGGCGAACCTCCTGTGGCCCCTCCTCCTAGCCAACCTCCCCCAGCCCCGTTGGGCCCTGGTTGCCAGCCAGGCCAAGGGACCCCACCCGTGCACGAATTTGTTCACCGGGCCTCTAGTTATCTTATAATTGTGACACCACCCGGGCATGAATTTGTACACCAGACCTCTAGTTATCTTATAATTGTCTTATAATTTATAATGTTTAAGACAGTCTGAAATGAGACTGTCAGGGTTTGAATCCCACCTAACTCTCTTTGCCTTCATTTTTTCATTTGCATTGGCAATATTGATGGTTCTTTTTTTTTTATAAGCTTGTTATGAGGTTAAGAGTCTGAGTTAATACATGTAAGTGTTAACAATAGGACCTGGCTCACAGTAAGGTCTTATAAGTGTTCCATGTTGTTATTGTCTGTTATTACATTTAATTATGTTTTACAAAGTGAAGGGTATGCTTCTGAAAACCCTGAGTGAGAGGGCAAATTCTTTTTCTGGTGGCAGAAACAAACTAAACATTAATATGGAAATTTTTGCTCAAGATCATATCAGGCTTCTTCCCCCAAAATCCAAATCCTGGTGTTTTTTTTTAAACCCCAAACCCAGATGCCTCTTGAAGCTTAAGAATGTCGGGACTGCTACCCCTGTGTGTGTTTTGAATCAAGGTGACTGGCTGGCCTGGCCTTGCCGAGTGAAGTGCTTGCAAGAGATAGCAGTGCAGTTCCTTTTGAAAGAACACTGACATGCAGGAGGAGCTGAAAGCCTAGATGATTTATATTATTAGTGCTTTGGGGGGGTAAATTGAAGTTGTGATGACTTCTATTTCTGGTGTGGTTTGGGGGGGGAATATTAACTTATTTGTGTGACTATAACATTTACTCAAAGAGAAACTAAAAACTTTTGTTTTTTTTTCTACCTCATAGCAATTGCAAATAACATTTAAACCATTTACAGTACCAGCCATGAAAACTTCTAGTTTGGCAGGTGTATTATTTTGGAAGTGTTGGGCTGTGGCATACCTTAATCTCGTGCCCTTTGACTCCTTGTTTTGTAGGAAGCCTGCGGTCTTGTAGTTCTTCGGACTGCTTCAGTAAAGTGATGCCGCCAAGGAAAAAGAGAAGACCTGCTTCTGGAGATGATTTATCTGCCAAGAAAAGTAGACATGACAGGTACGGCGCAGACAGTAGGTCAGAATTGATGACACTGGTGTCATAGAAGCACGATGCTGCCTCATCCATGTGGGTCTCTAAATGGACAAATGCCAACTGGAACATTGTTTTAGTTCTGCATGGCAAACTTTCAAGGTGTAGTTATTTCATGTCACTTATTTTATGCGTGGGTTTATTAAAAAAACACATTAGGTAATTTTACTTCTTAGAAATTACAGTTTGATCTTAATCCACTGATCCACCAAAACTGGTGTTGACTTCCTTTCCTTTTACGGGCTTGCTGTGCGTGCCTGCAGAGGACCTCAGCATTGGTATGTGTTTCACTAAACACCACCACAGGAATCCCGTAATTGCCTTTGCAGGGGACCGGGGCTGAGTGGCCGGAAAGCGGCCTGCACTGACTGCTCTGAGCCTGCCGGGAGGATTGGCTGTCCTGAGGTTTATTCTCAGAAGAGTGAGGATTTGTTAGAAACAGATTTGGTAGATAATTTTTTTCAACCACTTCTCTTTCAAACAAGTGAACTGTACCTCAGTTGGAGGGATAGGGAGATGGATTCTGAAAATGTGAAAATAATGTCACCGTTCATATCCCAAATGAGTAGAAAATATTATCTAAAAGAAGGTTAGTAGTGAGTTAGAAGATAATCACCAACAATGTGTAGACCAATGCTTTTCAGCATTACGAAGCCAGGCTACTTTATACTTCTGAGTGGTGTAAATGTGATTATCAAGGCATTGCCAAATTCTAATAGTCACATTGCATTTTGGGACTATCTATGGTGTTTATTTTTTCATCACGGTCTAATAAAATTCAGGGTGATAAAGCCATTTAAAAACTGCTAGTGGAGTTGCAGAAAGGTTTGGGAGACTTATTGACAGCATTGCCATGGTCACCCAAGGGAGAGGGGGCTATAGCGTTATCTGAGTTTCATCCTTGTTATTTTTTTTCATAAAATTTTTTACATACTATAATGTTCATCCATTTTAGGTGTACAAATTCAGTGATTTTTACCAAATTGTTAGAGTTATGCAACCATCACTACAAACCAGTTTTAGAAGATTTCCATCACCTCAGTTAGATCCTTAGTGCCCATTCACACTCACTCCCTGTTTCCATTCCCCCACCCCAGGCAATCATGAATCTACTTTACAGCTCTACAGATTTGCCTTTTCTAGTCATTTTATATAAGTGGTCTTTTGTGTGTTGCTTCTTTCACTTAGCTTAATGTTTTTTGAGGTTCATCCATGTTATAGCATCTATCTTTTTTAAAATTTTATTAGCTGAGTGGTATTCCATTACTCTTTTTTATGTAGACTATATTTAAGCAATTCAAACATTGTTATATATAGATCTCTAGACTATTGACCAATTAAAGACTTTTGAGTTGAGAGAGGAATGTTCAGGACTAGGATAGGAGCATATCTATTTGAACCTTTGGACAGTGTCCATCTTTGTTTCCAGGTATTATGGCTACCTTTTATTGAAGAAAACAAAACTGGTAGTATGCAGTTTAAATATCTTCCCACCCCATAACCATGTCTTTTTTTGGTATTGAAACTCAGAATCTCTAATCAGAGGTATATACATATATTCTGGTGAATGTGTGGGTCATAAATAAATGCTCATTTAAAAAGAATTATATGATTTTTATATACTATGTAAATGAAAATTATATTCATAAATATTTATATATACCTATTTAGGCAATATATATATATATAAATGAAGGGTAAGAAAAGTTTATACTCATAATTTTTCTATCCAGATCACTATTTGTAAAGTTGCCTTCACTATCACTATTTGCCTCCTCTCCCCTCTTCAAGTAGGGAATATTTCTGTCCTTAGCCCCAGGTCATTATGAAATAAGAACTTCTTGCCGAAGGTCACAGGGTTGGAGGAGGAGGCTGCTGTGCTTTCGGGTTTGGTTTTCCAGCTTATGCTGGCTGTTTCCACAATAGTAGGGAATGATGAGAGAATGGCAGAAGCCAGGGCTTCTCTAAACTTCTCCTGAGGTTTTTAAGGTTATCCTAATGAAGAAACCATTCAAGAGACTTTGTGTGATCAACTATACACCTTACTATTTTTTTTCCCTGGAGGCTTGATCATAGTTTGATGTTTCTTTTTATTTTCTTATGTTCCCTCGAGGTCTCTAATATTGACAGGTTCTTTCTTACACTGTGCTCTTTGCCCAGCCTAACTCATAAGGCACAGAAGTCAGGAGAACCTAGTGTGAGACAGGAGTGAGTCGTAGGGTCATCAAATGTCTACAGTGTTAGACATTTCTTGCAGTATCTCACTATCTTTCTGTACTTAGTTCTGGTAGTGAGGTAAAAGGGGATCTATAAAATACCTGTTCCTATTCAGTTCTTACTGATGATTTGTTAATCAGAGAAAAACCTGTGTTAAGTATTTACCATTTAATTTTGTATTGGGTGGGACTGTGTTTAAAACTGTAGTTATAAAAGGTTAAGCTTCTAAATTCAGGAAGTAAAATATTTAAAATATACTTGAAATACTGATTAAATAGATGTGTGGTTTGGGTAAGTGAATAAAATCTATCTGCTACTTAAAAAGAACTCAGAATCTTTAACTAACTTAAAACTGCCTTCAATTTCTAGCATGTATAGAAAATATGATCCGACCAGAATAAAGACTGAAGAAGAAGCTTTCTCAAGTAAGAGGTGCTTAGAGTGGTTCTATGAATATGCAGGTAGGTGATCGCTTATATCGTCTTAGACTGATCCTCTGAAAGGAGGGACTACCGGAGAGGAGATTAGGAAATTGGAAATGTGTACTTTTCGAATTTGGGGTGTGTGTGTGTCTGTGTGTGTCTGTGTGTCTGTGTGTCTGTGTGTCTGTGTGTCTGTGTGTGTCCCTGTTTGAGGGAGAGAACATCATTGAAATAAATCATCAAATGTCCTATTTATAGCCAGCAGCTAAGCCAAAGAACTCAGAACACTAGAAGCGAACTGAAAAGATGAAATGCACTTGGGAGAAGTACTTTGGATTGCTAGGAAACCTATTCAAATGCTGGTAATGGGTGATTATTTGGTTTACACATTGAAGTTAAAATAAGCTTTGCTGCTTTGAACCATTATGCAATGCAACAGAATTTCTTATATTAAGTGTCTCTATTTTGAAAGATCTTTTGGCAGAAAATGTTTGTTTTGTCATTTAAATGTGTTGAATTCAGTCCCAGTTTTGCAACTTATTATAATTGGTTGGCTGGTGTAATACTGAAATCTAAGGTTTGGTTGTTTTTGTGGCTGTGTGTGATGTGAAAGAGAGAAAGAAAAATTTTCAGACAAGTTTGAGCTGGAGGTTCTTTTTCTCATTTCTAGTTCTAACTTACTTCCTATCAACTTCACTATCCCAGCATCCTTCAAAGCAACGTTCCTGCCATCAGTCCACCCCGCCCCCCCCACCTCACACATCCCTGCTGCCTACAGGATAAAAGAGCTAGTTCTCTGCCAGCCCTTTGTCTGGAGTGCTTTTCTCCATTTTTCCATCTGACAAGATGCTCTGTAGCTATAAAGCGCCCTAATTAGCCTGATAGCCCTTGTGCTTCTCCAGGACATTGTTCATCACTAGTTCTGATACCATTTTATTGGGTATCAAAGTGAGGATTCCTCCTATGGCCTGATCTTGCCACCCTCCCTCCCCCTACCCTTTTTCTGGTAAGAGCCTTGCCCCTTTTGGCCACAGAAATTGTTCCAGGGGCTGACAGATAATCCAGGCCTGGCCAATCAGGCAAAATTTTCTGGGATTATCAGGAAGCTGAGAAGAATCTCTTCTGGTGTGGACTTGAAAGGATGTGATCCTGATTCCTGTGGTTCATTGGAATTTCGTGAGCTACCCCAATGTCTTTCTAGTGAATTCACCTTCGTTACTGGAACTAGTTTCAGCTAGATTTTGTTTGTAGGGCATAGACACTAGTACAAAAACTTACTTAATGTTAGACTTTATCTGTTTTCACATTTATGACAAAAGAACATGAATCTCTTGAAGACATTTGTCTTCCTAGTGAAAGTGTTTGAGCCCTGGGCTCAGTGGATAGGTGGCAGCCCACACACCAAAGGGTCTCGGGTTCTATTCCTGGTCAAGGGCACATACCTGGCTTTGCAGATTTGATCCTGCACTGGTTGGGCTGTGTTCAGGAGGCAACCAATCAATGTGTCTCACATCTCTCTCTTCCCTTCCCTGTCCCCCTCCCTCCCTTCTACTCTCTGTAAAAATCAGTGGAAAAAATATCCTCTATTGAGGATTTAAAAAAAATTAAAAAGGTACTTTTCCAGGTGTTTGGTACACAGATGCTGAATGAATGAAGAATTTTCTGATATTTGTATCATTTTGATTATGAAGATCTTTTGCTTTCTTCTTGGCTTACAATTTGTTGTTATGAAATATATTATAAAAAGGATATTTTAAACATAAAAAGAACACTTAATCTCACCGTCATAGCACAGCTATTTTGATTTTTTTGTGTGTCTTCCTTTACAAGTAAGCATAAATTTTTCCATAGTATAAGCCACACTTCTGTTTTCTTTAAAAAGAGAGCAAGCAGTCTACAATTTTCCTTCTTGTTTGCTTTTCTCTGGCCCAGAAAGATGACATTTGGGATAAAGCTTAAGCCACATTCTTTAGGTTCCCTGAGGTCCTGGCTGGTTGGTTCCTGGTAGTCCATTCTCAAAAGGAGTTTCTGGGGGTGTGGCTAGCTCTATTTTTACACCTGCCTCCTTTCCTTCTTCTGTATCTTATCAGTAGGGAAATTGGTTTGAAATTGGGAATAATTAAAAGTTCAAGTGGTATCTTTTTCACTTTTAAAATCCCAACTACATGAGTGAAAACTATAGATGAGTATTATTCAAGGATGACTTACAGGTTGTGCTGCAGAGTGAGTCTGTGGGAGCCCGTCTGTGAGGCCACAGCTCCCTGGAATGAGGAGGGCTTCACCACCCCCGGTGTGTGCACTTTCACTAGGAGCCAGCCAGCTGGTTTGGGCTGACTCCTGTACTTTAATCTGGAGAGGAGTAGAGGGGCATCAGGGGCCTTGGCATGTAGTTGTTTCACATGAATGGACCTTCAGTTCTTTGCTGAGCTGTCCGTTTCACTCCTCACCTTGCTGACTGCTGTCCATGGCTTCTGCAGCCTGAGCCCTGCTCTCCAGCTCCTGCCTGGCCAGTTAACCCCAGCACGTTCTATGATGTGGACAAAATCACTTTAAAGTGGGAGGGTAAGTTGGGAGGACCACTTTTTTCTAGGTTACTGTGAGTATGTCCGCCTTCCAAATATATCTTCAGTATCTGTCACCTGGGCATTCCATAGCTTGCTTTAGATACAATGGTTTTGTAAACCATCTTCCTCAAACCCCACTTCTAACCTACTTTGTGTTAGTCAGTGGCATATTTGTTAGAATGCAGTTGCTCAATTCTACAAGGGAATTGATAAATTCAGTATAAATATTACAATAATCCCAATGAACAATGTGATTACAGATAGATCTAAATAAGTTCATGAGAAAGATGAATGAGATGAAAGAAGTTGTTGTTTTAAATAGGATTATGGGTAGCTTTTTAATGTTAATTGACAAGCTATATTTTAGGTTTTTTTAGGATAAAATAATTATTAAAATAATTAATAATTAGTTTTGGCAAGTCATACCATTGCAAATCCTACTGTTGAAAACTTGTTGCTCTTTCAAAACACACAGGGAAAATGCACACAATTAATGCTACAGTTGCATTGCATAAAATGTAGAAAAAAGGAAGAGCATGGGTAATTAACGTCAGCAGACCTTTCTTTGAGGGCTTTCCATGTGCCAGGTTCAGAGGTGCAGTGAACAGAAGCACTGTGCTCATTTTCTAGTGTGACAAATGGACAAACTGAGAAGCATCATCTTTGTAATGAGTATTGACAGAGCCAGAGGCAGTAACCAGGAGGGAGGGAGCAAGAGGCGGAGAGCAGCCTGGAGACTCCCAGGCCTGTGCACAGGCACGGGAAATGCAGGTGGCTGGCCAGGCTCAAGAACAGGTTACAGTGAAAGAGCTTTTATAAAATCAGCCAAAATGGAAGCCAAAGAGATTAAAAAGTAACTTTTTATTTTCAGCTCTATGCAACCACCTTCCGTGAGTCCTATTGGTAAATAACAAAAAGGCATCTTTTCCTAAAAACAAAACCTCTTAGCAAAATAAAGACGGATGGCTATTTCCTTGTGAGAATAATTATTCTTTAATCTTACAGCCTAAGTATTTTATAGTAGTAGAGTGATGAACACACACACACACACACACACACACACACACACACTACACACATTACATACAGTGGAGTAATGGAAAATTGTCTGCTAACAAGAACAAAGTAGATGCAGAGGTATTCTCACAGGAAGATTATCAGACATACTTAATGAAAAAAGCAAGATGTAGAATTTATAGATATAGCATGAATCCATGTGTATAGATAAATTTAAAACTGCATTTTATTGTGTATTTGCACATACATGAATACATAACAGAAAGGTCTGGGAGAATACACACCTAATTAATAAGGAAAAGGAGAAGGCAGGCTTTCTCTTTTTTTACTGTATTTTACTCAGTCTTTCTCTATTTGAACATTTTACCACGTGAATGTATTAATGTCTTCTTGGTGTAACATATACATGAATGTGTGCATGTGTGTGTATATGGGCTCTCAAACCTAAAGCTGGCAAGGTATCAAATGATAAAAATGCTAATTGGATTCACATTTGAATCAAGAATGAGATAAGAAATTTTATTTGCTATTGTTTTGTAAGTTATTAAATAGTGCTAGATAAAGAAGGGGCATGAATATTGAAAAGGAGGAGACAAAAATGATCATTTGTTGGAGATGAAATTATTAAATTATTGTATACCTGGAAAGCCAAAGAGAATTGCCTGGACAAATTTAGAAACAGCAAATAAATATGTATGTAGAAACTTGGTTTGGGAAGGGTACTTAAAGGGATTCTTTAATAAATGGTTGTCTCTGGAGAGTACGGAAGGATTAGAGGGGAAACTTTTGCTTTTTAAATATTTTAATTTTTTGCTTTCACTTTTAAATGAGATTTTGTCTTGTGTTTATATGTTAATGTAGCAAAAAAGTAACTAAATTAAAAATTAAGTAAACTTTTATTTGATGCGATAACTTTTCCTCTAATAATCAAATTAAGAAAGTTGGGAATACATAGATAAATATGTAAAATAAAAGGAGAAAAATAATTACTAGAAAAAGGTCAGAGGGGGGACAAGGCTCTGGAATTAGGGTGATCCTGAAGAGACTGCTGGGGTAACCTCAGTGAAAGGAGAGAGCCTGAATAGGTCAGTGCAGGATAGATCCAATTAAGACATATTTCAAAGGAAAGATTTTGAATATTGATTGGATGCGGAAAGTGGGTAAGGGAAGAATCCAGGATGACTCCTAGGTTTCTATTTCTGGTGGTGCCACCAGTTGAGACAGAATACAGGAGGATAAGCAGGCTTGGCATCGAGAGATGATGGGCTCAGCGAGGTGATAGTAGAAAATGTGAAATGTAGGAGGAGTAGTCCGGGTCAGAAGATGAGTTTAGTTGTGTTAGTTAAAGAGGAGGTGATGTAGACAGCCCAAAAGTCAGGGAAAGTGTGGGCTAGAGAGAGATCTGGGTAGAAGTACCTGAAACCTCAGATATGGTTGAAATTTCCTAGGGAGCGTGTATAGAACGGATTAGGAGAGGTTTAAGGATGGAACTATGCATATCACATTTTATAAGTTGGGAGAAGCAAAGGACCCAACCCATAAAAAAGCCAAGGAGGAGAGGTGGCAAAACCAGATGACAGAGGGCACTTCCAGAAGTCGTGGGAGGAGACAAGTTTTGTGAAGCGAGAACTTCAAATGGTCAGGTATCACAGAAAAATCCAGTAACATAAAGATGGACTGTTACATCTATTACTTTTGACAATTAGGGGGTTGTTAGTGACTTTGCAGGTGACCTTATCTTTAGACCTAAGTTGTGTCTATCATATGTCCATAGGTTGAGGGACATGGCAATGATTTGACTTAAATGATTGTGCAGAGTAGAATCCTTTAAAGATATGCCAGAATATTTTTCAATTTATACTTGATGATTTCTTTCTTCAGAAAGGAGTTCTAGTCCTTAATTGTTATTTGATTTTATTTTACTTGGATAATAAATATTTTGATAATATAATCCTATCACAGTAGTAATAGTGCACATGGTTAGATTTAATTTATATAAGATTGCATTTCACCACAGGTACTGATGATGTTGTAGGTCCCGAAGGCATGGAGAAATTTTGTGAAGACATTGGTGTTGAACCAGAAAATGTAAGTCTAACTTATTAAGTCGAGTCAATCAGTTGATTGCTTTTCTTAAGTCTTTTTTGTCCCTTGACAAATAAAGCAACAATAAAAAAAGTAATGGTGTGTTTTTATGAAGCAATCTAAGAAATAGGTTTCAATTCTAATTTGATTTGTAAGTGAAATTTTTTGTTGGTATGGTGTACAGTCATTTTTCTCCCATGTTTAATTTCTTGTATCTAAAAGGTACAGTAGTAAGGTCGTTAAACTAGATTTTTAAAAAGTGGTGTGTGCATGTGTATCTACAGTGACAGATCAGCTCGGGGACCGGGCACAGCATGTGTCCCTTTGTTTCCCCCCCTATTTGCCTCAGCCTCATGGACTTTATCTAGGACTTTGAATAAGGGTTTTGCGGAGGTTGTAATTATCAAGAATTTTTCATGGCTCTTTAACTTCCATTTTAATTTACCTCAAAAAGTGATTTTTTTTGGTGAAAAGGCCCTAAGTACTTCACTTAAAAAGTTTAATTAGAATTTATTTTATATGCTTAATTACTTTTGCCTAATTCTTATCACCATGTTATTGTTGAATATTTTTTCCTGTTCCCACATCTAATCTCTTATACTAAAATGAAAAATTTTGCTCATACAAATGCCCTGGATCATTAACTGTGCAGTTGAATATTACATTAGCCTTCAATTTTAACAAATACGCCAGAGATCCTAAATGAATTTATGACCTGGGAGTGATCTCAAGATCATCCCCTTCATTCAGACTATTTGCAGGATATCTGGTGACCATGCATATATGTCATGCTCTTAAAGAAAACTAGGAATTGAGACTTCACACTTTTTTATTAAAACTTTTCTTTTTTTATCCTTACCATTCCTGTGCCTCTGTTCTCCTCCACGTCCTCCTAATAACATTTTCAATATCCTAAAGAGCCTTTGGAATGTTAACTTTATTACATGGATTTTTGTCTTGTATTTTAAAATTTAATGTGATCTAGTTCAGGTATCTAGATAAATTATTCAGTTTGGCGTAAAGGTTTAGGGACAACTGGGTCAGTAGTATTTTGTCTGATCTGGTCCATAGACACTCATAGACGTAGAAAGTAACATTCCTAATGAGAGCTGCATTGAGGGGGCAAGGTGTTTTTTTGAACAGTATGAGTGAGCTGGGCTTGAGAGAGGCTACAGAGATTCCACCAGAGAACATCTGTCTACGTCTGATCAGAAGGATGGGCAGCAGGGCCAGCGGTTAGGAGGCTGGGGTCAGGCTGCTTGTATAAAAGGGATTGTGCGAGCACTTATACTCAGAGGTGGAAAGGCCTGTCGGTGTGAGGGAGTGCTGATGCTGGTTCTAACTGAAAAAGGGGGTCCTCAGCTCTCCAAAGTTCCTCACCTCCATATAGCAGTACTCAGTAAAAGAGAGCTGAGTAATGAGTCCTTTTGGGGCAGTAAAAGGACTCTTTCTGTAAAAATAGTCTTGAAATGTTGAATCATGTACAAAGACCAAATTTAGAATATTTTAAAGTATTTATTACTGTACTTCAATTCTAAGATGCCACTAATAGAACTTGTATAAGCTGTATCATCACTAAAAAAGAAAAAATGTTGCCAAATAAACTCAGATATGCCATTAATCGGGGACACATTACAATTTCAGAAATGTTAACATTTGAAAAAGCAGCAAAAATAGTTTTTAAAAGGCCATTTGCATCAATGAGTAAGCACCTTAAAGTATTTAAAACTCTCACCTTGCCTGATATTTATAGCTTATAGATTTGAAGCAGGTTGTAAAATTCAAGTCTACTTTCATTTACTAAGGTAACAGCAAGATCCTTTATTTAAGTAGTTAGCTTTCTTATTAGCCATTAAAAGAAAAGTTCTGTTTTGTGTAAAGAAATCCCCATGGTGAACGTCTGCTTTGGCAGTTTAGACACATTTCATGTGCACTGTCTGTGTTCTTGTGTCTTCACCATTTTTTTAAACATGTTTATGTGGAATTTAAAAAATCTTTCTAATAGATGTTTGAATGTAGATATTGAGAACATACCAAGTTTGAATTTAAAAATGTGGGTTAGTTCAAGAGATGAGGAGAAAATCCTCTAATGTGTAAATATTTTGAAGAACATATAACTTCTTCTTTTGGGGAAATTCTTCTAAATAGCCCATCGGTCTCTTAAGTTACCATTTTTAAACTATTTACCAATCATTTTGTGACAATGTACATAATAATGTAAAAGCATTGGCTTACTAATCAGTCCTCATAATCTACCTAGTAATCTAGATTTTTGAAATCTAAAACACCTAGTGATTTTAAAAATTAATATGTACTGATTTAATTAATATTTGATGAAAGGAAATTTTAACAGAAAAGGTACACTTAATCCTGCCATCATTACTACAGCTGTTTGATATGTTTACATGGTGCCTCACAGGAAAGATTGGGCCCTGCTGCTCCTCCTGGGCTCAGTCCAGGCATAGTGCTATTTATGTGGGCCATTGGGCTACTTTATAATAATTCCTCCGGTCTACACAGTTGAATTTACAAACATTAATGTATTTGTGATACAACTCCACTGTATGTGTCTCAAGTGTGTATCTCACCACCCACCTTTTAATTTTTTAACTCTGTTCTGCACCTTTCTCGTTTCATTTAATAAATCTTAAAGATTGTTCCCTATTTGTACCCATAGGTCTACTGTGTCATAATGGGGGCATAGTATTCCTTCATGTGGAATGTATTTAGCAAAGAAGTATGCAATAACTAGCCCTTATTTATAAATGTTTGTTTCCAATCTTCTGCTTCTACAAATAGTACTGTGGTCAGCATTGTTGAATATACACGTTAATGTATATGTGCAGGTATATCTATAAGATAACTTTCCGTAGGTGGAATTGCTGAGTCAGTTACTGGTTTTAGTTTTGATAGGCACTGCAAAATTGCCCTCTGGGAAGGTTAATCTCTTTACACTTTCACCAGCACACATCATAAGAGTTTATGTTTCTCCAAACCTTGTTAGCAGACTGAATTATCAAACTTATAGATGATTGCCAATCTAGAACTCATTTTTTTAAGTTACTCTGTTGATATTTCAGTGACTAAACTACCATGAACAGAAGCATTTGGCGAGATGTTAATGTATTTACTGAGGTCTGTTGTTCTGATTTGATTGGGCTTTCTTTCTTTTTTTAAACAGGTAGTTATGCTTGTCCTAGCTTGGAAATTGGATGCACAAAATATGGGCTATTTTACTCTACAGGAATGGTTAAAAGGAATGACTTCTCTACAGTAAGTCCTAAGACTGTACTGGGGGGTCACTACTCTCCCAAGCTGGCAGCCTCTTCCCTGGGATCTCAGGGAGCCTGGGTTGGGTGACTGGATGAAGGCCAGCTGATCTGGGCAGACTTCTACTGGGGCCATGTGTCATTTTTATATGACGAGGAGGGCTTTATGGTTGAATTTTAGCAATTAATGTTTTTATGTGAGTGTATATTATTTATTTTCGTATTCTAGAGCAGCTCTACCCAGTAGGAAATAGACTAGCCTTTTCTCGTATATGTAAACCGTATAGGTAATTAAAAATTTTCCAATAGCCACATTAAAAAAGTGTAAAAAGAAACAGGTAAAATTTTAATATATTTTATTTAACCCAAATTATTATCATTCCAGCATGTAATAAATAGTTTAAAAATCAATGAACTATTTTGAATTAGCTGCATTTCAATTGCTCAGTAGCCACATGTGTCTAGTGGCTATTGGATTGAATAGCCCAGGGGTAGAGCTTAAACAGCAAAGGCTTACTAGAATCTGGTTTATAGTTAGAAAAAATTGAGAAAAGTGTAATTTATAAGTGAAAATGTTTGATATCTTCTATTTTATATATTCTGTGTTAGCGTAGGGCAAAATTGGAACTTCATTACTCTAGTGATTAAAAAATAGTAATAATAAAGATTCTGTTTGTGTTACCTGGCCCAGAATAAGATGAAAGTCAGTGGTTTTATGTGTTCCCTTTGTACTTATGTGTATGTGTGTGTGGTGTGTCTGTGGATGTATGTGTGTGTGTTTGCTGAGAGTTTCATTCAAGAAAACATAAATTGTTATTCTATGTTATGCATTGAAGGATACAGTTGAGGTGGGTGACTAAATATTTCAAATGGCTGGAAGATATATAGCTGTGATCTAGAGTACTTGGAATAACTTCTCTTTTCCTTTTCACTTTAACTAGGAATAAGATTTCAATTTTTATTAGATTAAAATTGGAGTTGAAGTGGTTTTATTTAAATAATTTTGGAATTTTTGTCAACTTTTAGTATCATTGTCCGTTTGTTACTGATAATAATGCTTATTTGTTGTGCACTTTAGTAGTTTATGAAGCCCTATCACTGTTTTTCCATGGCTATGGGGACAGATCAGGCTTGAGCCTTGTGCACTTTACAAATAAGGAAACTGAGGCTCAGGAAATACGTGATTTGTGAAAGTAAGTGGCAGAGATGGGAAGAAAACCCAATACTTCTGATTCTGAAGTCTCATTCTTCTAACAGCTGTTGGCTGATGGCAAATGAGTTTTAGGTAAAAGCCAAATCACCTTTTTACAAATACACTTTCCTGTCAGCATATTCTAGAATTTTAGGGTTAAGTCTCTGAAATCTCTAAAATTGTGCCGTCATGTTGGCAAACTACTTATGATTTTAAGCCTTCAACTCTTTCATTGTTTTCCTCGCTGCCTTTCTTCATGGCCTTCTGAATAGAGTACGTGGTGGCTGCTCATTTGTCCTTTTTTTAATTTTTTTAAGATATATTTTTATTGATTTTGGAGAGGAAAGGAGAGGGAGAGATAGAAACACCAATGATGACAGAGAATGATTGATCAGCTGCCTCCTGCACTGGGGTTCGAGCCCACAACCCGGGCATGTGCCCTGATTGGGAGTCGAACCGTGACCTCCTAGTTCATAGGTCGATACTCAACCACTGAGCCACTCCGGCCAGTTTCATTTCTTTTAAGAGAGTATAATATTTATTTTTTTATATAGCTTTAGATTCTTTTTTACATTTGCCTTTACAAAAGAATATTGCACGATGCCAGCCAGACCTTGCCCATGTGTTTTGAAGGCCTCACCACCTGGGAAGTGAAATATGCAGTTCCTGGAAAAGGCCTATGTGTATGTTGGGGGTGGGGAGCACTTCACAGGCTTTTTGTTGAGGACTCTACTTGGTGGCAGGTGGGTTCCTATAAAATGCAGGGTGTCCTTTCAAGCCTGATCCTCTAAGGGTGCTGAGGAATCTGCTTTCTTTTTGTGATATGAAACTCTTGAGACTGATTTTCTCATCAGTGAGGTGGAGATAATTACTCAGAATAATCTGTAAGGTTCTTTGTAGTTCAAAAATAGACCAATTTCATGTTTTAAGAACCCCTCTCCCCTCCTCCTTCCAGCCTCCCTAGATTTATTATTTGTTCAGCAAATATTTGAATGATAGTGATGTGCCAAGCACAGTATTCTAGGTTCTGGGGAAACAAAACCCATGAGCAAGACAAAGCCCATTCAGGGTTGGGGCTTAGAAGCAATGTTCAGGCAAAAGTAATAAGGGTAGTTCTCTTTATGCTACTTGAATTAACTAAATAAATTCTGTATTTGTAAGGTGTGCACACTCAGTATATAAAAAAACTCAAGCCAATCATTTATATGCTCTAAATGGAAACCTTTAGATTCAACTGGATTTAAAATATGTATATGATAAAATATATAGTCACATATATTGTGTGTGTGTGTGTGTGTGTGTGTGTGTGTGTGTGTGTGTGTGTATATATATATATATATA